ACAGCTAGTGGGACTTAGAGCTCTTCAAGTCAGAGTGTGTTTTTACAAGCAAGAAATTCCCCAGCCTGGAATAGGACCGCGGAGTGGTTGCGGCATACAAAGGTGGCGACAGAGACGACTGGCGACGGGGGCGGGGGCGGTATCGGCGGTGGCGACGGTGGCGGCGGCGACGGGGGCGGGGGCGGCGTCGGCGGTGGCGACGGGGGCGGCGAGGGCGGCGGCGACGGCGGCGGCCTCGACGGCGGCGGCGGCTGGTAGAACCAGCTCTTGAACTCGTTGCTGAAGCCGCACGCACGGTACGAGTAGTGCAGGGTGGCGCCCACCACGTACGCTGTAAAGCTGTACTCGGTGTTGCACGCGGCCGGGTCGATGTAGCACCACTCGTGCTCGCACCAGGCGGGGTAGCCGGCCGAGTTGCAGGACGGCTCGAGCCCACTGTCGTGCCGGCCGCACGCGTGGAGGCCGTACGTGTCGGGGTACGCGGCACTCACGCCGTCCGCCGCGACGACCTGCACCTCGCCGTTCACGAGGGCCCATCCGCCGCCGGCGGATGGGTGGTAAGCGGTGAGGCACGGGCAGTCGAGCGGCGGCGAGGGCGGCGGCGGCGAGGGCGGCGAGGGCAGAGACGGCGGAGGGGGCGACGGGGACAAAGACGGAGGCGGGGGTGTTGGCGGTGGCGACGGTGGCGGCGGCGACGGGGGCGGTGGCGGTGGCGGCGGTGGTGGCGGCGCTACAATGACGGTGATCATCGTGGGCTGCTCGTCAAACTCGGCCGAGGGGAAGGTCTCCTTCAGCTTCTCGAGGAAGGCGCCCCCCGAGGTCACGACGTCGAGTGTGATGGTGACCTTGAAACGGCCGTCGCCGAGGTCTTCCACCAAGGCTTGGTCTTCAGCAATGCTGACGCCCACCCCATGCATGGCCTCAATCACGGCGCTGCGTACCGTAGATAGGCCGACTGCAGACAGGGCCCGCCGCCGACGTCGGCCAGCACCGGGGATCCGAAGGATGAACTCGGTGCCTGCAGCAAAACTCTCGCCAGGCAGCAGCGGCGGCGGGGGCGGCGGAGGCGACAGCGGTGGGGGGCACGCCGGCTCCTCGGCCAAACGGCGGTGCGCCGCAGTCAAGTCCTCGCCGGACTGCACCTCGAACGAGGTGGCGCGCGCAACGATACGGGCCGCATTCGCCTCCTTTCGGAGGTACCGGGCCTCCTCCTCGTCCTCCTTCGCCTGCTGGTAGTCCTTCAGCCGGAGGTTGGTCCCCAAAAGGCGGCGCGTCATGCGCGCAGCGCGCCGTTCAACCGCCTTGATCTCCGCAGTCAGCTCGGCGTCGCACAGCGCCTCTGCCGCTGCTGCCGTCTGCGCGCCGACCGCCTCGCCGGCGAAGCGCGAGAAGGCAAAGTCGGTATCAAAGGGCGAGAACACCTCGTACATGTCGGCCGTGCCCTCGATCGCCCCCTCCGCCTGCGCGGAGGTCGTGAAGGTGCCCGCGTCGGGGTACGAGTAGGTCCGTCCAAACCCAGTTAAACGCAACCCAGAGTTCGCCCGTCGCCATGATTGCGACCCCCGAGCCTAGCCCTGCACGCCCTGCCGCCGCCTCACGGCTGTGCGCGGCTGCGCTCCTCCTCCTCCTCGCCTTCATCGCGGTCGGCGCAGCTCTAGACCCGCGTGCCAGCATGGCGACGGGCGAACGCCTGGCACGCGGTCGCCACAAGGGAACCGCTTTCTTCGCTGCCACCGGTCATCATGCAGCGGCAGGCGCCACCGCCGCCGCGAACGGGCACTCTGTAGTTGGCTTTCAACAGGCCTCCAAGGCGGAGACCAAGGACACCGGCCACGGCTCGCGGATCGCGACGGGGGGGCTGATGATGACGGGCCACGGCAAGGCCGCCGGCGCGAACATGATGATGCATGGCAAGCCGGTGGCGGGGACTATGGTGGCTAAGCATGGACGCGCGTGATGGTGGCGGGCGCCGCGACGCCGCGTGGAAGGGCGAAGCCGCCGGGTGCGGCTGAAGGTGTGGTCGTGGCAGGCCATGGTCGCCGCGGGCGATCACTGCCGAGGGCGAGGCCACGGCCCACGCGTGACGGATCACGCCGCGCTCACCACCTCACCAGCGCTGGGCCGAAGCGAAGTCGGAGGTCAGCGCGGGCTCGTCAGGTGTGTGCCGTCGCAATCCGCGCCTCTTCTCTGGAGTTCTAGTTGTGCGATTTCGTCTAGAAACGTCGCCAGCAGACCAGCACCGATTACAAGTTCGAAGTTGTCGCACTTTTGCACTGGAGGTCTCGATCGTGCTCACACCTCACACACGGCGCACGCAGCCGCGGCGGGAGAGGAACTCACGTGGGACAGGGTCCCGCAATGCAGCCGCAGCCGCGAAACGCGCCGCCCTTCGCCCTCAGCGCGCGCCGCGAACGCACTCGTTCCGCAGCAGCGCGAGCTCGTTGCGGGGCAACAGCGTCGCCGCGCCGAGCAGCGGCCGGAGCTTGAGCCGCCTGGCGGGATCAGCCGAGATCAGCCGAGATTACCCGAGATTACCCGAGCAGATGCCGCAGCTTGAGCCGCCTGGCGGGATCAGCCGAGATCAGCCGAGATTACCCGAGATTGCCCGAGCAGAGGCCGGGGCTTGAGCGGCGTGGCGGGAGAGAGTGTGTGCTGGCGTTGTGTAACCGCGATGGCCTTCGCGAGATCTCGGCGGTATCTCGGCGGCAGCTCGGCGAGATCGCGGCGAAATCTGGGCGAGACTATCTCGGCGGTATCTCGGCGGCATCTCGGCGAAATCTCGCCGAGCGAGCTCGAGCACGGCCTCGTGCGGCACGCCCAGCTCGGAAGCTAGCTCGCCTATCACGCATGAACAATCATTAATTAAATCGATACTTAATAATTGACAGCTCGGAGGCTAGCTCGCCTATCACGCATGAACAATCATTAACTAAATCGTGAGCCAGAGACGGTTCAGAGAAGGGCTCCGTCCGCGGCGACATCTCGTTTCAACCTCGGGTCCTCGGGCACTCTAGGACAACTCTCGGACAGTCTCGTGTACGCTCGCCGATCGACTCGTCGGCCAGCCCCTCGCGCAGCTCGATCGGGTCGCAGCCTAAATCTCGGCCAATCTCGGGTCATCTCGGGGGTATCTCGGGCGATCTCGCGCAGCTTGACCCGGCCGCAGCCTAGAGGCGGCAGACAGGCGCGCGCTGCAGGAGAGAAGACGTGGCGGGCGGGCTCGACCGGGCCGCGCAGCCCTGCAGGTAGTGCACCAGGCTGGCAACCTGCGGTGAGCGGGAGGGAGGGAGGGAGGGAGGGAGGGAGGGAGGGAGGGAGAGAGTGTGGTGTGTGTGTGTGTGTGTGTGTGTGTGTGTGTGTGTGTGTGTGTGTGTGTGTGTGTGTGTGTGTGAGTGAGTGTGAGTGAGTGTGTGTGTGTGTGTGTGTGTGTGTGTGTGTGTGTGTGTCCCAAGGTGGTGGCCACAAGAGAGTGGGCGCGCGCGGCGGGCCGCGTGAGAAGGAGGTGGCGGAGCCAGATCTCAGTTGGCGTGCGCCGCGCGCGGCGATAGATGGTCGCCGCCGCTTCCTCTGGCTTCAGTGCAAAGAACGGGCAAGCCTCGCGGATGGAGTGAGCCGCGAGCGCCAGCTGGAAGAAGCGTGTGCGGGCGCGGTGTGTGCGCAGTCTGTGTGGTGTGTGCGGAGTGTGCGGGCGCGCGTTGCGCACTGTCTGTGTGGTGTGTGCGGAAGTGTGTGTGCGCGGAGTGTGCTGTCGTGCGGAGTGTCTGCGTGCGGTTGCGAGAGCTGCGCGGTGTCGGTGAGCGGTGTCCGCTGCCCCGACGCCTGCGCCGCGGTGCACGCCTCCGAGAGGGGCCGCTCCGGCCTAAAAACGAAAGACTCCCGGTAAAAAAGAAGGACACCGAGCCGCCTCCAAATGAGGGGGGGCTCTCCCCGACCTTAAGTCTCGCTCCGGCACGCCCAGATCCAGCAGCTTCGCAAGCACCGCCTCGAGCGGCGCGCCGTAGTCGTCGCCGATCTCCGCGGGAGTGAACGCGCCGCTCCCAAACGCCTCGCCGTCGCCGCCGTCGCCGCCCGCGCCGCCGCCGTCGCCCCACTCGCGCCCCTCGACAAGCACGTGCGCCTTGGCGCGCGCGCGCGCCTGCTCCGCCTCGTACTCGGCGCCCGCTGCCTCGTCGAGCATGATCTCTGCCGCCCACGCCGGGACGTGCTTGGCCAGCTTCTCCGCGCCGGCCATCTCGTGCTCCCACTCGTTGTCAAAGGTGGGCGCCGTCTCGCCACCGTACGACGAGTCGAGCGCGGAGACCGCAGCGCGGCCGAGGCGCATAGGCCGGAGGCCGGAGCCGGCCGAGTGAGCGAGCGCGAGGCCAACGAGCATGCACACACACACTGGGCTGTGCCTCGGTAAGCGACGCGTAGCGCGTGAACCGCCGGGGCGGGCGCCGGGTGGCGCCGCGGAGCTCTTTTGGCTCGGCGTACACGGGCGAGTAAAAAGAATTCTTAGGATGCAAGCCTCTCTCACAGCACACTGGCACGAGTAAAAAGAATGCTAAAAAAGCCTCTCTCACAGCACACTGGCACGACAAGGGCGCGGACTGGCGCGGACTGGCACACACACCGGCTCACCACCGGAGCCGCCTAAGCGACTCCGTTAAAGAACGGCAATGCACTCCGCACCATGCACAATGCCGCTCTCTCCGCACGCTAGCTCGTTCACCGTCTGCCACGCCACGGCGGTGTGGAGGACGACAGACAAGCGCTGCATCTGCAGCCCGTGCCAGTTCTTGGTGGTCCATGTGACCTCGTCCAGGTGCTGAGCGTGCGAAAGTTTGTTGCTCAGCTGGTTCGCCGCCTCCCTCAGGGTGCTGCGAACCTCCTTTCCAAAGCGGCGAGTAAAAAGAATTTGCCGGGACGACGCTGGGCACGGGACTGGCGCGCACTGGCACTAACACAGGTACACCACGGGAGCCGCCTAGGCGACTCCTGCGAGGGTGGCGAGGCACTTAGCTCCGTGCACCCGCCCACCCCCGCCACAGGCAAGCTCATTCACAACCTCTTCTGCTCTGCGATTGCCGAGTGAAGAACGACTGAGATACGCTGCTTCTGCAGCCCCAGCCAATTCTTAGTGGTCCAAGTCACCTCATCGAGGTACTGGGCCCGCGTCAGCTTGTTCTGTAGCACGTCCGCCGCCTTCCGGAGGATCTCACGGACCCCCTTTCCGAACCCGCCGAACGATTCGAACAGCAGCAGCTGCACTTCGACGCCCTTGTCTTCCCTGGCGTAGCGATAGTCCCCGCCGTAGGACGGTATGCGGCGGTCGCCGCCCACCACCCTGCCCCCCCTGGTATGCCAGCGCCCAGTCCCTTGCCCTCTCTCGCCCTTGCTCTTCCTCTCCCCCTCCATGCCGCC